ACCCCACCCTCCCATGCGCTTTCCGGTCTTTTATCCTCTCAGCTGATGGGCTTGTTAGGGGTGTGTGTGTTAGGGGCGCACTCATGCACGATCACCCACCAAAGCAGTAGCGACTAAGGTAGGATCCCACTACTGACCAACAAGCTGTTTTTCTGGGATTGTGAAGCTATTTCATGCTTCTCCAAATACATAGGTGTGTTTCAACATGATTAGAAACAGAAAAGGCAGGATTTCAGGTCAAATGAAGAGATCAAAACACATACAATTCTATAAGTGTAGCATTTTGCAGACATCAATTTGAATATCCATAGATTTTCTATAGTGATACCACGTCCTCTGTCCTAAATCTATCCTCGGACTGTAGATAAGCAATAGCAGGTAAATTTGAGTGGGACCTTGTGAAGCACTGCTATTGGCAAAAGAACCACATATTGAGTGAGATTCACAGGGATCCAATGGGACTCTGCTTATCCAACAACGGGACTCTGTGTATTCCACCCCATTACAGACTCATGCTTGTTTCCCAAACACTAATTCTGAAGATCAACAAACCCAGCATAAGGACACATGGGAGTGAAAAGCTGAAAAAGAGTTAAAGTTAAGGAAAAAGTTAAAGAATTTGGCAGGAGCCCATTTTACAAATAAAATGGCTTTTCAGTTTATGCAAGACATCATTTTGAGAGCCACTCAGAGTTGGTGAGAAGATGATCAGCTATATAAGTCTTTTAAATAAATAACTATCTTTAGATCCAACAAGCAATCATCTTCATAAAATCTATAATTTTTTTCTTCTTCCAGTACTGTAAATACTTCTTTCGGATTGGCTATGTGAAATTTTAATTCTTATTCACTGGAATTTCCTTCACATTAATCTGACATGTATATTCACAAATATTATCACTTAGCTAAGAATTAATATAATCAAATAATTCCCAGGGCACTAACTAAAATCCTTGGCATAGATTGAGATCTCCTGATTCAACCACTTGTTGAAATAAAATATGTCTTGTTTTTCTGAAAGAATGGAAAGAGCATGGGCTCATTTTGTTCAGGCAGCCCAAGATATTTTAAAGAAATCCAAATGTACAACATGGTCTATGATTACAGATTAAAAACATCAGGCTGGGAATTTGGTGTTTACTGTCAGTCAAATGAAATGCTTTGTTTTATTTGAGAAGGTTGACTAAATGGTCTTGGTACAAGTATCCACAGTATGAGCAGTTGGAAACCATTCTTTCCCAATGCTGGAACATCATTTCAAAGATAAATGGTTGGAGTAGGGATAATTATAGTGCAGTATTAAATAAATATAGTACTAGAAATTACAAGAGGCAATGTTTTCAATCTTGTTTCTAGTTCCTTTGCTTTGATGGGTTGAAGGTAGTATTTTAAAAAGTAGAGAAAATGAACATTGTACAGATAGTCCTTGACTTACAACAGGTCCTTTAGTGACCATTCAAAGTTACAACTTTGACTTATGACCCTTTTTCACTTACGACCACTGCAATATCCCCATGGTCACAGGATCAAAAGTCAGTTGCTTGGCATCTGGTTAATATTTATGATGGTTGCAGTGTCCTAAAAGTCATGTGATCACTTTTTTTGACCTTCTGACAAGCAAAATTAATGGGGAAGCCAGATTCGCTTAACAACCTTGTTACTAACTTAACAACTACATTGATTTGTTTAACAACTGTGGCAAGAAAAGTCGGGCAATGGGACAAAATTCATTTAACAAATGTCTTGCTTAACAACAGAAATGTTGGCCTCAATTGTGGTCGTAATTCGTGTTTTTGATTCAGAAGAAATATTGTTTTTTTGTAATTACACTATTTACTAGTTACTCTACTCTTTCAGGCTATGTGGACCGTTTCAGCACAGCATCACCAATAAGACTTATTGAAAAATCACTCGGAGTTGAATTGCCTGTGCCTTTTGAAACACCGGTTGAATCCCACCACTGATGTCATCACACATTTTATACTCATGTCGAAATGTCTGATGCAGATATGTAACTCATGACATTTGCATCATGCCCACATTTGCCCCTCTTCCCGGATATTTTCCTTGTTCCACTCAATATGGACAATTTATAAAGATATAGGATGCCTTGCAAAATTCAGTTTCACATCTGCTCTAAAGAAGTTACCAGCAAAGCTAGCAAAACACCAGCAAATTGCCTCTCACAGCATTACTCAGAAGTATTTTTTTTTAATTTTACTTTTTTTTCCCTGAGCATTTGTGGCACTGAGAAATCTGGCTCATAATTTGCAGTGACTGAGAAAGGCAGGATTTCAACAGTGACTGTTGCAGTGACTGAGCTATTTCATTCCAAGGACTGTTTCAGGGAAGTGGTGTGTGATGATGGGGCTACAATATATGGCCCCTGTGGGGACAAAGAATGCTTCTCTGAGGTGGACTTTGTCCTGATCCAACAGGGCTGTTCTCAAAATTTATCATAGGTTAGAGAATTAACTACTTGGTGGATTTTCCTCCATAATGTTGGATGTTCCTTCTATTGTCATTCTGCTTTGTTCCAATATCATTAATATGGCAGGCCAGGACATGTTGCTGCATTTCACGATTTCAGACTGTGAAGAATGTTACACAATTCACAAATGTTGGATACATACAGGTCTCTACTATCAGATAATCTGATACAAATCCTTAATCCTCTATTTTCGTAACATAATTACAGTGGCAATAAACGTCCTGACACCTAGTTTAGCCCTTTCAATCATAATTAAACCTACACCTGAATTTTCCTGCATATGTTCATCAATTCTACTTTATAAAATGTTCATTAAATACAAACTAGGACCTCTAATCTAGAGACTTTTTTGGAAGCCATGCAAGCCATCATATTCTTCACCACGTTTGTTCCATTAAGGAGGTATATGTGACGTACTACAGATTCCTTTAAAGCTGATGTTTAAAATACACACACACATACACATTAATTTCCCATTGTCCCACACAATTTAAATATTGGTAATGGCATCCCCTTATATGAAAATACTTGGCCGCCAGTTTTTAGAAAATCAGGTTTAAGCTAAGCAGTTGCAATATGCAAAGATAAAACCAATCATTTTTTAGGAGAGCACATACCCCACCTCCCTTTTAAGACCCTTGCCAAGTCAGTCTATGGAACTGTCCATCATTTTGTTTTGCAGAAAAGTCAGTCATAGATGAATGCTCACATTTAAAATAGGTGAACATTAGATCTCATAACTAGCATTAGATTTCACTTGTTTTATTTATGTAATTTATACAGCTGCCCATCTCACACAATTGATTCTGGGTGATTTACAAGATTAAAACCAACAGCCTTACCAACGATTGTTAATACCCAAAGAAACAATTAATCCCACTTACCACCCATAGCACTCTTCCTTCCTGTTAGTTTTAAGGTTGGCTGCCTTTGAACTTAGTGGGGTAAATATCCATGAAGATTAACAGGCATTGAAAATCTGATTCTATAGCTAGTTTTCTTTTAATGTGAGTGGCCATTGACAAATTTGAAGACATTAAATGCTATAGTTTTAACTACGAAGGACATTCAACTATATTAAATATCTGATACACTTTATATTAACAAAACAATTCTAAGACATCTGATGTTTATCCTGTTTGAAAGGAACTTTTTAAACAATGAAGTACTAAGTGGATTTTCATTGGTAAAACATGCTTTCTAGGTAAACAATGCAATAACAATATGTATTTCTTCTCTGGATTTTCAGGACCATATTTAGAGTTTCGAGATGAAGTTGAGGAATTGCAGAAACACGCAGACAAACTTACTACATTGGGTGTCAACAAAATCATTGCACTTGGTCACTCTGGTTTTAAGGAGGACTGCCGCATTGCTCAGAAAGTTAAAGGTGTAGATGTTGTGGTTGGAGGACATACGAACACATTTCTTTATACAGGTATGTAATTTCTTCACCCCCCCCCCAAAAAAAATGATTTTTATATAACCTTGCAACTGCCGAATATTTTAGTCAGCATATATTTACATGGTTTGTATAAATATCATTTGCTTGTATAAATAGAATATTTTGGATAACTGTAATCCTAAGTGAACTAATAAATCTGGTATGAATCCCTCCTTCCCATTGGTTTGAGTCATATAAAAGAAAAGTTCATCAGATCAGTAACGGTGTCTTTTATACATTCAGTTTGATGTATAGTTTGCTTTTCAGTTTGTTAGGCATTAGAGCTTCAATTCTCAGGAACTTCATTGATTTTAATTTGCTGAATTTAATCGAAAGGCTGGAATTTGTTCTAATATTCCTTACTTAAACGAACCATTTTTCTCTCTTCACTTATTCATGCCTTATCTTTGTTCTAGAATATATTTGTCAATGTAAATTTTCTCTTCTGTTTCCTGCTGCCACAACTTTATATCTCTTATGCATTTTGCTCAGTGAGTGTAACAAACTTTCCTGTGTCTGAAATGAAGGTTCTGAAGGAGAATGACTTATAGGTAGAAAACCCAACTATACTAAAATGTCCGCTTATCTTTTGTCACACAGAAACTGATGTCCATTAATGTAGACGGCTTCATCTGAGTATACTCTAGAACCTATTTCAGTAATCTGAGTTGGATTTTCTTTTTTGAAAGACACATGATAGCTAAGTAACAGCACCATTCACTGCTATTAATAAATGCCTTTGGGAGCTGTTGAAGAGTGTCGTTTTGTGGCATATAGGAATGTTTGTGCCAGGAGGCAGAAAGGAGCATTCATGACAAGAAGCGTTTGACTGGCTGACTAGGGAAGGAATTAAAAAAAATATGCAGTAACAGGTTTTTCCAGGAGACTCATCAATGTTTGGATAACTCTCGGATTGGATAAATACTTCAGGCTGAAGTATTTGTTGATTTAATCTTCCACCTGAAAATAACCTAGCACCTTTAGAAAATGCAATAAAACTGTTGTGTGCAGTTAAATGCAGGTGTGCTATCATTGAGTAAGGTACATTAAAGGCCAATGGCAGCTAAAGAACTGGCAGCTGTGATTTCTCATTTTTGTGTATATATATGTGGGAAGAAATATCTATCTGGTTCAGTTCCAAGCCAGGAGAAAGGCACTGGAGACAAAATGGAGTCTGGAGGCTGATTGGGAAAAAGGTCTATTTATTGATGAACAGAACCACCAAGTACATGGTTCTGGCACAGCTGCCCCAGAGGTGGTATTCAGCAGTTTCTGACCAGTTCTGGAGAACCAGTAGTGAAAATTTTGAGTAGTTTGGAGATACCACCTCTGACTGGAGATTTTACACTATCCTTGTCGCGTTGAGCGACCGGTCTGTTGTTTCGCCTTTCTGGTTGATTGCTGAATTCCTCTCAGAGAATAACCCTCGCAAGGGTGAGATTTAAAGTAGCCCTCGCAAGGGCGAGACAGTGGGACCCTCCCAAGGGTGAATTAGTCCTCGCAAGGACGAAGTTTAAAGTAACCCTCTCAAGGGTGAGAAAATAGCCCTCGCAAGGGCGAGATAGCATGGGACCCTCGCAAGGGTGAGGCTAGGCAAGACTCTCACAAGAGTGATTGCCAAGCAAGCACAAGAAATAAAACACACAAAACACAAGAAATCTTCAAAATGAGGCAACACTTGAGCCTGGGGGAGATGGGATTCCCTGGCTGCCCTGGAACAGATGGAAAATGTCCGGGCTCTCTGCTTCTTCTCCTGCTCCTTTCTTCTGCTTTCTCCTCCCCCAGGCTTTTTGCTGTCCTCTTTTATTGTGCTAATTCAAGGGAGGGGGTGAAAGAGGAAATTTACAGAAAGGTAAAGAGATACAATGTTAATCTTTTTTGACCAGTTTACGTGACATGAGTCACATACTCTATAGCTGTTATTTTGTAACTCCTATAGACAGGCATATCTCCTTGGAATACACATTCTTGTCTGGGGTTATTCTTTTATTTAACTTCCTCCCTGTCAGTGCTTCCCTGCTGAGCTGAATACATGCTTTCCAGCAAGATTTCTTCTTGTGGAAAAATACAAGACAGAACCTAGGTAAAATAGTCACACCTATCTATCTATCTATCTATCTATCTATCTATCTATCTATCTATCTATCTATCTACCTACCTACCTATCTATCCATTTGATTGATATATTAATCCATGTATTTAACTATGTATCTATCATCTATGTATCTATCATCTCTCTCTCTCTCTCTCTCTCTCTCTCTCTATCTATCTATCTATCTATCTAGCTATCTATCTATCTTTCTATTCGATTCATACATAAATCTATCTATCTGTCTGTCTTTCAGTCTGTCTGTCGGTCTATCCATTCGATCGATACATTAAGGTGTCTGTCTGTCTGTCTGTCTGTCTGTCTGTCTGTCCGTCCGTATACCTATGCTTTCGATCCGTACAATAATCTATCTATCTACCTATCTATCTACCTATCTATCTATCTATCTATCTATCTATCTGTCTATCTACAATCTATCTATCTATCTATCTATCTACCGATCTACCTATCTACCGATCTATCTATTTATCTATCTACCTACCTATCTATTTATCCATTTGATTGATATATTAATCCATGTATATAACTATGTACCTATCATCTATGTATCTATCATCTCTTTCTATCTATCTATCTATCTATCTATATATCTATCTATCTATCTATCTATCTATCTATCTATCTTTCTATTCGATCCATACATAAATCTATCTATCTTTCTGTCTGTCTGTCTGTCTATCCATTCAATCCAAACATTAAGATATCTGTCTGTCTGTTTGTCTGTCTCTTTACCTGTCTGTTTGTCTGTCTGTCTGTCTGTCCTTTCGATCCATACATTAATCCATCAATCAATCAATCTATCAATCTATCAATCTATCTATCTATCTATCTATCTATCCATCCATCTGTCTATCTATCATTCTATCTGTCTGTCTGTCTTAGCCAGCCTGCCTGCCTATCGAGTGATCTATCTATCCTTGTCTATCTATCTATCTATCTATCTATCTATCTGTCTGTCTGTCTGTCTGTCTGTCTATCTATCTATCTATCTATCTATCCATCTACCCATTCGATCCATACATTATGGTGTCTGTCTGTCTCTCTGTCTGTGTACCTATCCTTTCGATCTATACATTAATCCACCCATCTTTCTATCTGTCTATCTACCGACCTACCCACCTCTCTATCCTCTATCTATCATCTCTCTTTCTCTCTCTCTCTCTCTCTCTCTCTATCTATCTATCTATCTATCTATCTATCATCTATCTATCTTTCTATTCGATCCATACATAAATCTATCCATCTGTCTGTCTGTCTGTCTATCCATTAAATCCATACATTAAGGTATCTGTCTGTCTGTTTGTCTGTCTGTTTGCCTGTCAGTTTGTCTGTCTGTCTGTCTGTCTGTCCTTTCGATCCATACATTAATCAATCAATCAATCTATCTATCTATCTATCTATCCATCCATCTGTCTATCTATCTTTCTATCTGTCTGTCTGTCTTAGCCAGCCTGCCTGCCTATCGATTGATCTATCTATCCTTGTGTATCTATCTATCTATGTATCTATGTATCTATGTATCTATCTATCTATCTATCTACCCATTCGATCCATGCATTATGGTGTCTGTCTGTCTCTCTGTCTATCTACCTATCCTTTCGATCTATACATTAATCCATCCAACTCTCTATCTGTCTATCTACCGACCTACCCACCCCTCTATCCTCTATCTATCATCTCTCTCTCTCTCTCTCTCTCTCTCTCTCTCCTTTCAATCCATACATTGATATCTCTCTGTCTGTCTGCCTGCCTGCCTGTCTGTCTGTCTGTCTTTGCCCGCCTGCCTGCCTATCGATTGATCTATCTATCCTTGTCTATCTATCTGTGTGTCTGTCTGTCTATCTATCTACCTACCTACCTATCTATCCATTTGATCGATATATTAATCCATCTATGTATCTATCTATCTATCTATGTATCTTTGGTATTCAGCTTCTTTCGGGTATTTTTCCACGTCATTATATTTGTGCTTTTAAAGTTGTGCTATTTTATAGTTTTTATCTATTTCTAGCTAGCTAGCTAGCTAGCGAGCTATCCATTTGATCCATACATTAAGGTGTCTGTCTGTCTGTCTGTCTACCTATCCTTTCGATCTATACATTAATCCATCCATCTTTCTATCTATCTATCTACCAACCTACGTACCTCTCTCTCCTCTATCAGTCTATCCTCTATCTATCTGTCTACTAGCTAGCTAGCTAGCTAGCTACGGACCTACCTACCTACCTATCTATTTGTTCGATATATTAATCCATCTAAGTATCTATCTATGTAACTATGTATCTATCTATCATCTATCTATCTATCTATCTATCTATCTATCTATCTATCTATCTATCTATCTAT